ATACCAAATTAGAAAAGGTGGAGCTAGCACCTCATTAATTTTGAGTGCTTCTTTGTGGATACTTTGATACGTTGATCATCAATAGAGGCCGGACACTTGGACGAATTTATTGAAAAAGAATTTAGATCTACACTACAAGAGGTAAACCTTTATTTATAGCTTATTATTTATGTATGTATGCTTAGTAGATTCAACGGCTTGATCGTAAAGCCTTAGATGGAGGAAAATTTTTATTTATTCGTACGTCCGTAGGATATATGATCCTTCACAAAGATAGAAAGGGATTTGCGGATCGATTATGAAACGTATTATGATATAGAAAAAGGATTTGATGTGCACATGCATATACATATACATACATGACATGCATATATACATACACGACATGTATAGGTTAACTTACTAGGCTATCACTTACTTAGTTCCTTATAATGTAGATAATTAAGGTACGATGGTGTATTTCTCCGTCGAGCTGATTTTCGGGGGTGTACAATACGTATATAACTTGGGTGGGGTTTTGGCTTCCAAGTGGATCTACTATATGCTATTTTTTTATTTTTTTGGTATTAGCTATTGTCTTTTATTTACTAGGGCTAGCTGGTTTGTTTTATGTTATAATAAAAACAATGAACAAGTAAATTGAGTACCTCTAAATTGATGTAATTAGTCAATAAGCTAATTTTGTAGTAGTTGGCATATAACCGGTTTTATATGTAAACAGTAGTTTGTATGTAACCAAAGCATTAATAGTAAAATGATAGTGTAGTTACTTTAAATTGTTCACTGCATGTTAGTTTCCTTAGGACATTAAGGCAATATGATTAGAGGCACGCCAAATAAAAAGTAACGATAAATTAGGAAAAGAATAAGTAAAGTAATAATTATAATAGTAATGGATTATAACTAAATAAATTTACATAAATTAATGAGTAGAGAAATCGGGACAATCGATTGTCACAAATCTAGTTATTCCAATCCAAAGAATGTAACTAAAGGAATAAAACACAAAAAATTTATAACGCCTTTTTACCTAAAGTATAGGACCCGCCTTGTCAATGTTAGGTTTCTTTAGCAAAGATTGCACATTAGACATTAAGATTAATCCATAGTGCCTTATTAGCATGCATTCATTACACCTCAATTGTAGGTTAATGGCAATAATATTTTTAACTTTTTAGGTCTTAGGTTGGGGGTGTTACATCGCCCTCGTGGAATTTGCACTTCAAGCCATGTTGAATCTCTTATACTCATGTACTTGTTTTGCTTTGAGAGACACAAGTCGTTAGTGTTGGTGCTCAAGATCCAGCCATGTTTGGATGGGTTTATGTTAATATGTCATTACAATATTTATTTTAATAATAATAAAGAATTCATTCTATTAATTCTTATGTTTACACGTTGATAAATTCAAAAGAATTAGGTAGAAGTCCTTATGGTACGCATTTGCAATAGTGATTGATCAAAAGATGTGAGATAAACACTAATGCATATAAATGATATCATTAAATATCTCAAGTTATAACAATGTCAAGAATGGACATTGATAAAATACGGATCGACTTGTGAGTGCTATGCTCATGCTATTTGATAGCGAGTAGGAGATCTCATTCCTATTGGTATAGTGATGTCAAAGCAAGCACTAGGTGATTTATGTTAGAGAACATATCACCTGGACTTGACTCAAGATAAGAACAGATTTGGTTTTATTCTATGAGAATCTCATACGAGATGGGTACAAATGGTCTTTAGACTTGAAGTCGTCACGGTTATCTTATTGGAGGACTTATGCACTTTGACACTTGTTTCAATAGACCCAAAAAAGATAGGTGTATGACTAAGACAGGACATGTCATTCCTTGTATGCTAAAGGAGTTATCATATTTTACTTTGATAAATATCTCGCTCAAGAAATCTGTGGCTACGGTAGGAGTACACCAATAGAGCATAGTTAGTTTACTCTAAGAGCTAAGACATTTGGGAATCGAAAAAAACTTATGTGATCATAATCAAACAAGACTAATAACTAAGTTCAAGATCACACTCGTGATAAGTTGACATGAGGACTAAATTGTATGGTAACCATGCTCGTGAAAGATAATAATGAATTAACTAATCCTCCTAGAGAATTGGGTAATCATGATGCCTTGCTAGAGGACAATCTTGATTTATGCATCAAGAATCAAAGAGGAGTCTTTTATTTTTGATACATTACCATCATATCTAGGAGCTTATTGAGTCACACGCATAAGTTCATATATTCACATTACAAATGAGAAGCAAAGATATTGGAAAAAGTTTTCAATTATAAAAGTTTCCTATTTTGGAAACTTTCTATTTTGGAAAAAGTTTCTAAAATGGAAAGTTTTCTAAAATGGAAAGTTTCTTATTTTAGAAATCGATTTTCTAATTTGAAAGTTAGTTTCAAATTTGAAAATAAAGAACCTAAAAAGAAAGGAGTTTCCTAATTTAAGTTAAAAGGGTATTTTTGGAAATTATTTCCTAATGTGGACCCCGTCAAAATAATCTAAGAATATTTATTTGGATAGTCCAAATAAATTAATTGAGCTAAAATAGTTTTGGCCGTTAGGTTTAATTAAAAGTATCAAGATAATGTTGATGGAAAGATAAACATCAACCTTATTAGATAAAGATGAATATTTTAAAGATAATAATCAAGTAGTCCACATATAAAATAACTCTTCATCCTTGGAGGATAAGGAAGCAACAACTTAGAGTCCTTTATGGACTCAAGGCCACCACTTTTCTTGTCCTTGGAGGACAAGGAAACTCTCCTCCTACAAATAAGAGGAGAGGGGCGGCAAAAAAAGAGGAAGAGAACCTAATAGAGAATTTTGACCAAAAAACAAAAAGGAAAATTCAGCCAGCCCCTAAAATAACCTAAGGCACACGGCCAAGTGAGAAAAAAGAGAGAAAATAGTTTTCTCCTAAAACCCTAGAAAGAAATACTCTTACCTTCTCCATGTAGGTTGTCACAAAGTTGTCCGGGATTGATTTCTAGAGAAAATACTTAATCAAAAAAGGTGGAGCTAGCACTCTATCAATTTTGAGTGCTTCTTTGCGAATATTTGGGCTACGTAGATCATCAATAGAGGTCGGGCACTTGGACGATTAATCAAAGAAAATGAATTTAGATCTCGCGCTACAATAGGTAATCCTTTACTTTATCTTATTATTCATATATGTATGATTAGTAGATTCAACAAGTATGATCTTGAGTCCTTAGATAGAGGAAAATTTTTATTTATTTCATACCTCCATAGGATGCATGATCCTTTCACGAGCTTGTGACTTTGCACTCGCAAAACTTATGCGATACCTTCTATCCGTGTGGTCTTCTTTTCTCTTGGGCTTTGTTAAGCTAAGACACCCATACGATCGTGTAGAATGCTACCGCCCATGTGGCTTGTATTGTCGACCAATCCACACAATTTCTTCCTTCATGTTACATGGTCGGTAGCTTTTTCTTTTATTATTTCAAATGACCGTATGACTCTTCTAAGCTTTTTGAAGTTTTCTCTCTTCCTTACTTTAGTTTTGGGCTTCCTCATTTTTCGTATAAAACCCGAAACCATCATTTTATTCTTAAATAGCATAATATGGTAAATAAACACTAAAGGTGCTTGAGATGTAAAAAGGTTCAATATATTCCTTATTGGATATTAATTGGTTCAATTATGGGATTTAACTTGTGTTTTTACGTGAAGCTGGGCATTTTACGGAAGAAAATGTAGATGCATACAACAAAAGTTACAAAACAAAGATGGCTTCTGATCTCAAGTAACGTTTATATGGAAAAAGGGTAGGTAACGTCTTTTACTTACGTCGAACCCGGTTTGATTTAGTTACAAAGAATGTTTTGTAGAGATGGTTCAACTCTAAATGATTACTTTCAGAATTCAAAAATTCCGGAAACTATATACTTTAGATGAGACCACTTAACCAGTTCATGCACATTAGGCATAAATAGAATGGTTATAACTTTGTCTATTATTGATTATATTTGAAGAATAATTGATAAAATCAGAACGCTTCATGATCAATGGATATTAGGGTAAGGCTCCATTGAGATCTCCCCATATAAAAAAGTGTTATGTTGAGAAGTTGACTACTGATTGAAATGTATAAATTATTAAATTGACGTTCTCTTGAATCTCAATTCTTCACTGCCGTTAATAATAATAATAATAATAATAGTAATATTGCATCCTTTCACTTAAGCTCTTCTCGTTAGCGTCAATTTTTTTAAGCAAAGAATGCGAGCTCCAGTACGTCCATTCAGCCAATTACAAGGCAAGAAAAATCTTTGATATTTTGAAATAAACAAAATGGAGAAAAAATACGAAGGAAGAAACGGGAAAAATTATAAGCAATGAAGCCCTAGGTTTATTTTAAAGCCAACACAGTACTGCAAAGAATTATTACAATCGTAACTTCTGATAAATAGATTGTAGAAGATCAAGAAAAATCACTTCTTAATGACATTTCAGTAAAGCATTGGATTTATCTAAATAAACAAATAGTTGAAAATTTGTGTTTTAATGATGTTGGATCCCTCGTTAATGAAATAGATTAACAAAAGAAAGCACACATCGAATAACTCATAGAGTGAGTGATCATACCCAACTTAAGTCAAACCAGGCACAACCCGGGATAATTGACTTCTCTCGTGCTGACTAAAGCAAAAGCAGAATGCAGGCTGCAAAATCCAGCTTACTGGGACATCCTTAAATACCATGATTGATTATCCATACATAAGGAAGCTCCATCTACATCAGATAGGTATCTTGTGTAATAATACTGTATACTCCGCACAATCTTCAAACTACTTGTAACATTAAAAAGAATGGAAGAAAGAGAAAAGGGCAGCCTCAAGATGTTCAACATCGCACAGAAACCAACCGAAGCGATCCTATGAGACCATGGAAACAAGAACATCTACCAAAATGCAACATTAGAATTATATAAAACACTAGATTGGTTTAACGAAACCCTTTCAGAGGGTCAGCTGCATTCCCAGATCTTGCATCAGTCCATGCTTTTGCAATTGTTCGCTTCATTTCTTCATCCCCTTCCTCGTACATATTCTGCAGTTTGTGTTTAACAAAATCAAGTCAGAGCTAAATTTGGTTGTTTCTCAGCATAGTCACAAGTAGCACAAATCATTTCTTTGAATTATGTAATACACGACTAACCAACCTTCATTAAGTCCATAATTCCAGCCATAGGATCTCTTTTCTCATCCAGACTTGGTTTCAGCTGCAAGATAAGGTGAAAAATTACAACTTCCATCCGAAAATGCATTAAATCAAAACAATTACTGTGAAAAGTCAGTTACCTTATCGTCCTTAAAATGCAAGTCTACCCAGTTCCCCTTTGAAGCTTTGAACAATGTGATGATCACTCTTTTAGGCTTAACTACAACCGAGCATTTCTCTGGGATAATCTCCTTGTTCAATTTTGGTACAGCACATCGATAATTCTTTCCTTGGACATCTAGGAATTTGACATCAAATGACGTTGGCTTGAATTGCGTCTCAATTTTTTCTTGCTCAACACCCTCTAGAGCGACATATATCTGTACAAGGATGGAAAGAGATGAAACAAAACCAAAGCAAAGCAAAACAATCAGAATTACAAAGAAACTTAATAATGCCATTAATCCAAAACCAGACACGACAAAGCTTGAGTTTGTTACATTGCTTCTCGTAAGATTTTTTGCAGGTGGCAAGTTTGTTACCTTGACTTTGTCATTGTCCTGATCCCAACTGAAAGATCCGAGTGTAACATAATTAACTGCATGGGTCGAAGGCACCTTAACCCCAGATGAAATAGGAGTTGGAGTTGAAGTTGAAACTGGAACAGAAACATGTTCCTCAGATAACTGCGCACGGGAAAGTAAGAAGAAGATTAGAGGTTAAATGAAGAATGGACTACTCCAAGACACCTCATCAGCCGAGGCTTGCATTGAATAATTGATCACAAAAGATGAATAATTATCCAACCCCGACTTAAAGAAAATAACAGCTTGCGAAACCAAGTCACTCCACCATGAATTATGAAAAGCCAACACATAGAAGAAGATCCACGTACTTTAAGTTCTGCCTGGTATGACTTTTGTAAACTGATTTAAGTTGTTTTTAACTTCTAATTTATTAATTTGAACTTACACTACCCCCTTCATAATAATAATAATAGTAGTAGTAGCAGTAGTAATAAAAGACCTTTCGAATTATGACTCAAAAGTCCAAAGTGATTTTCCATGTTAAGATGAACAAAACCTTAATCTTATGATTAAAATGCACCCCGTCAAACAAATAATAATAGTAATAATAATAAATCCATGTTTGTTCGACTAAATGTTTGGCTAACTAATTAAACGAGGTATTATTTTCTTGCAAAGCTTACAGTCGTGTATAACAACAAGATGAATAAAAACCGCACCGATACACAATTGGGCAGTAGAGAAGGATCCATGACTAACAGTTTCCTTGATAATGAAGCACTAGCATTTCGAGATCAATTTGAGTCATTAGTACTGTATATAAACTCTGAAAAACAATAAAAAAAAAAAAAAAACTAATTATTCTATCTACATTTCTTTTTCTTTCAATAAGAGCGTAAACAAAAACCACAAATCAGAATCGCTAAAAAAACATAAACCCATTAAAACAAAAATGTAAAATACCTACTTTAGGTTAATTGGTCAAGTAATAGGTTTTAGTAAGTACATAAATGTAAATGAAAAGATTACCTTCTTCTCCAACTTGCTAATCTCAGAGGAGATGAGAGAACTGACACGAGGCCTTTTCGCTATGCTCTGAAACTGCCTTAACTCTTGTAAATCCAATGTCAATTCTTCCGCCATTTTTCCCTTTTTTTTTTTTTGGGTGTTGGTTGTGGGGGGGGGGGGGGGGGGGGGGGGGTGGGGGGGGGTGGTTCAAAAGAATGGCTTTCAGAGAGTTTTTCCTTTGTTCTTGTTTTTTTTTTTTTTTTTTTTTTTTTTTTTTTTAAGTGGAGGAAAGCGACGAGACAACAAAACCCTGTGGAAAGTGCTAGAACCTCCGAGTAGGAAAGCCAAATTTGGGGTTTATTTTTTTTTTTATTTATTTATTTTTTTTTTAAGTAGGGCTTTCGACGAAGAAGAAGGGTCTAGAGCGTTGGAGAAAAATACGGAAGGCAGGACCATGTGGAAATTTTGAGCTAATGTTTACTTTGATGAGCTACATGTCAATTTTGGGCTCCAGGAATGGACTTTGTTAGATAGTTGACCCATCATCTTGATTCTCTGTGTTGCTCCCTCCTTTGCATAATAATAATAATTTTTTAATTGAACAGTATTAGTATTCTTAATTAATTGAAATTAAAATTCATTTCTAAATAATTTTAAGAATGGATTTTTTTACATCTACTTAATGCAATTAAAAAAATGAATAAATTATCTCTAACATTAACTCAAATATCTAAATTCAAAAAATTAAAAAAAAAAAAGAAGCAAACTTCTTACATTATATGGATGCACTTATTGAGCTAATTTGTAGGTCTATTGAAACTAATCTATATCATAGGTTAATAGGTGTCACTCATGTGCTTCTTAACAAAGCAAATGGATGAAGTCTAATAGAAATCCTATATTGACCAAACAAAATGAGGGAACAAAATCAGTTAGTTGATGTCCATCCTATCAAAACTTTTGGAATCTAAAATCATTATAAAGGTATTTACTATGCGAATTCTTAAATGTTCTTTTGAAATATAGAAATATAATTGCCAAAAATATGACTTTTTTTTGTGTTTGGTATATGAACTTTAAATATTTTATTTTATAAATATTTATATTTATAAACACATATGCTATAAAAGAAATGATAACAACAAGTAGAATTAAAGAGAAAGATGATAGAAAAATGAATTTATTATAAAACAAAGTGAATACAAGAGATAGTAACTATAAATAATTATTTCAATCTCTACAAAATACTTGTACACAAAATAATGAACAATCAAATCTATTTGTAGGCTTCAAGATTAGGAAGAGAACTAGAAGAAACTATGAACCATTAAAGGTTCATAAATAATTGAGTCAATTACATCACCATTTCAATTTCTTATATTGAATAGTAAATTGAATCACATGAAGAATAATGACTAATGAAAATATGAAATGGACATTCATTATTTTATAACACCACCCTTGAATGTCGATTGTATAAGGAACATGTCTCGTTAAAACCTTATTAGAAAAAAACCTAGTGAAAAAAAATCATAATACAAGAAAAACAAGACAATATTTCTTATACACATTAATCTCTATGTTGGGCTCCCCTATTGAAAACACCATTTAAGACCTTTAAGACTACGCCTCTTTTGCGAACCATTTTCTCAAAAATTATGACAAGTAATGCCTTTGTGAATAAGTCCGTCAAATTATCACTTTGATTTATTCTTCCTTCAATTAAATTATGTAAGCATTATTATCTTCATATGATATTGTTGAAATTTCTTTATTAGTAAATAAACCGTATGTCTCTTGGATATGATGGGTAATTGATCTTAACCAAACACATTCTTGACTTGCCTCATGAATTGATATTTCGCATGATTTGAATATGTAAAAACTATAGTTTGCTTCATTTAATATCATGATATAGCTATATCACCATATGCAAATACATAACCCATTTATGATCGAGTTTTGTATGGATCAAACCAATAACCTACATCCGCATAACTAATTGATCCCGACTTTGATTTATCCGAGTAAAATAAATACCAAATCAATTATATATATATATAAGGTAGGAAATATTTAATACCATTCCAATGTTTTTATATTAGAGAAAAACTATGTCTTGCTAATAAACTTATAAAAAAAAGCTATATCAAGCCTAGTATTATTAACAAGATATATCAATGCACCAATTGCACTAAGATATAATACTTTAGGACAAATTAATTCTTTGTTAGCTTCTCAAGGTTGAAAAAGAGTCGATTTATATATATCTAGTGAACGAACTACCATTAGACTAATCAATTAATGAGTGTTATGTAGAATTATTGTAGAAATTTTTCTATATAAATTGATTGATAAATAAAAATATTATTCTCTAAGTGCTCGAACAATAGGTTGAGATAAAAATTGGTTTTCCCAAAGTATTTAATATCAAATTATCCTTTTAGATAGCTTATGTCACTCAAAATCTATTTAGGAGTTTCAATGATATTTAAATCATCAACATATACAACAATGATCACAAACCCTCTTTTGAATTTCTTTATAAAAATACATAAAAATATAGTTATTTTTATAACCTTCTTTCAATAAATATTTATTAAAGCAATTATACCATATGCACGCAAGTTAGTAATAAAGAATAGATATCGAAAAATAAAAAAAATAAATATAAAAAAATATAGCATAAATTGAATTTTTAAAAAACTAAATAAAAAAATATAATTGCATCTATTATAAGAGAATATGTCTTATTATAGTTAATGTTAGATCATTGCGAAAACCCTTATGTTACAAGTCTTACTTTGTATCTCACAATCTCATCTTTCTTATTTTATTTTCATATAAATACCCATTTGTATTCCACTCGGCTTAACATCTTTAGTTGTTTTGACTATGGATTCAAAAACTACTCATTTGTAAGAAAATATAATTATGTTTGGATTGTTTTTTTCATTCGAGCCAATCATCTTTATGTCGATATTCTTCAATAAATTTAGTTTTAGGATCCTTATTTTCTTTCAAATTATCAATTGCAATATTATATGCAAAAATGTTATCAATAAATATTTCTTTTCGATTCTATTTTCTCCTTGTATTGACATAATTTATCAAAGTCTCTTGATTTTTCTCAAGCATTTGGACTTTTTTTAGAAGTCTATTATCGAAATATCTTAGACCATTTTGTAAATATTTTTATCATTTATATTTTCATTTGATCATTTATCATTTTTTTAGAGATTTTTATCTTTAAAACCGATCGATCTTTTATGCTTCGTACGTGCCTTAGATTCATTTGCTATATATTAATAGATTTTCCTTCTTAGGATATCAATTCTAATAAGATCATTCCCAATGGAGACATGCATTTTAGTTATTTTTTTTCATCTAAGAATACATCCGATAGTTGGTTTGTAATATTTTATAAATGAATTATTTTTTGAACTTCTAGTTCATGTTGCTTTATACGAGGATCAAGATGATATAAAGATGGAGTATTATATGTAATCTCTTTCTCTAACATTTTTAATTGCTTATTTTGCTTATTCTCTTCTCCTAATATTGAAAAAACTGTTTTATCAAAATGACAATAGATAAATCACACTCGTAAAAATAACTTATGTTCATGATGAAGGATCATACATCCTATAGAGGTACGAAATAAATAAATAAATTTCTTCATCTAAGGGCCTAAGATCATATCATTGAATCAACTAATAATACATACATGAATAATATGATAAAGTAAAAGATTATCTTTTGTAGCGCGAGATATAAATTTCTTTTCTTTGATTAGTCGTCCAAGTGTCCAGCCTCTATTGATGATCCATGCAACCCAAATATCTACAAAAAAGCACTCAAAATTGATGTGGTGCTAGCTCCACCTTTTCCGATTAAGTTTTTCCACAAGAAATCAATCTCGAGCAACTTTATGATAACCTTATTCAAGGAGGAAAGAGTATGGCTTGTTAGAGTTTAGGAGAAAACTATTTTCTCTCTTTTTCTCTTTTGGCCGTGTGCCCTAGCTTGGTATTAGGGCTGGCCGAATTTCACTATATATTTTTTCTAGCTTGGTCGAATCTCAATTTATGCATTCTTCTTTTTCTTCTTTTTTTGTTGCACCTCTCCTCCTATTTATAGAGGGAGAGTTTTCTTGTCCTCCAAGGACAATGAAATAGGGGCCTAAGTCCCTAATTAGGACTCTAGGTTATTGCATCCTTATCGTTCAAAGTTAAGGAGTTATTTTACATGTGAACTACTTAATTTTTATCTTTAAGACATTCATCCTTATCCAATAAAGTTGATGTTTATCCTCCCATCAAAATTATCTTAAGACTTTTAATTAAACCTAATGGGCTAAAACTATTTTAACCCAATTAATTTATTTAGACTATCTAAATAAATATTCTTAGATTATTTTGGCGGGTTCCATATTAAGGAATAATTTCTCTAAATACCCTTTAATCTAAATTAGGAAACTTCTTTCCTTTAGGTTTTTTATTTCTAAATTTGAAACTAACTTTCAAATTAGAAAATCGATTTCTAAAATAGGAAATTTTCATTTTAGGAAAGTTTCCATTTTCCATTCCATTTTAGAAGCTTTCCCTTTTCCATTTTAGGAAACTCTTTCCAAAATAGGAAACTTTCTTAATTGGAAACTTTTTCCAATATCTTTGCTTCTAATTTGCAATGTGAATACTTGAACTTATGAGTGTGACTTAATAGGCTCCTAGATATGCTAGCAATGTATCAAGAATAAAAGACTCCTTTTTCATCTCTTGATACATAAATTAAGATTGGCATCTAGCAAGGCATCATGACTACCCAATTCTCTAGGAGGATTAATTAATCCATTATTACCTTTCACGAGTATGGTTACCATACAATTCAGTCCTCATGTCAACTTATCATAATGTAATCTCAATTTTGATTTTTAGTCTTGTTTGGTTATGATCACATAAATTTTCTTTGATTCCCAAATGTCTTAGCTCTTAAAGTAAACCAACTATGCTTTATTTGTGTACTTCTACTATGGCCATAAATTTCTTGAGTATACATTTATCGAAGTGCCATGTGACAACTCCTTTAGCATGCAAGAAATGACATATCCTATCTTAGCCATACACCTATCTTTA